TCTTTACACTATAGTGTAGTCTGTTAAGTGTGCACTAGCATATTTAAACAATATACAGACCTTAATTTAAAATACTTTATTGCTAAAAAAAATGCTAACCATCATCTGAGCCTTCAGCGAGTTGTAGTCATATCAGAGATCACAGACCACCGTAACAAATGTAATAAGGAAAAAGTTTGAAATATTACAAGAATTACCAAAATGGAACACAGAGACACGAAGTGAGCAAATGCTATTGGAAAAATGACTCTGATAGACTTCCTCGATGCAGGGTTGCCATAGACCTTCAATCTGTAAAAAACCCAGAATCTGTGAAACTCAATAAAACAAGGTCTGTCTGTATGGGGAAAATATGAGTGTGTTGCAGTGAATAATTGGCAACAGTAGGTTTTTTGATTCAAATAAATAGTCTCTGAATTTTAAAATTAAAGAAATTTAATTTTAACTATTGGAATTATTATTATTAAAAGGATTTAAAATGAAAAGAATTAAATTCAAAATGTTCCTTACTATATTTGCATTATTTTTCTATTTCCTCAGTGTGGTAGTAAGGATAATTGTTAAATTCTTGCTACAAATAAACATTTTTCTTTAAAAAGAAATTGAAATCAGCTGACGGGGACATTTTGATGTAATTGCTGAGTGAGAAGATAAATATTGTTCACGAGAAATTGGGAGCAACCCTTCAAAAGTGTCTTCCTTGTAGTCTTCTAGTATTTGATCATTGGAAACACTTTTTTAAATCTATTATAAGTGGATCCCCAAATCAGCATTCTCCTTTGCTTCTTTGATCTTGTAGCTCATTTTCAACTACCTCCCCAAAAAGGCCAGTAATAAGTTATTTAAGTTAAAACCCCTGAGAAATAGAAATATAGGTGCTTCATCTATATCACATTTTGCATAGTATTATCTAAGCTTTTTTTTAATTCTGTTTTTACTATTAAAATGTTACTAAATTTATTTCCCATTATCAGCCCAAGACAGATACACGATTTAAAGTCTTTACAGCTTTGATTTCTTGGCGTAGGTTCAGGTAAGTCAGAACGTAGAAAGGCCAGTAACTAACAGTTCTGGTGATAGAGCCATCTAGGCAGCTGTTTGCTTCAAAAACAGGGACAAAATATTTCCTGATATTTTAATAGATTCTTTTTTGTCAGCCATCAGACTGCACTTTTCGATTCAGCATTTCTGGATAATCTTGCTGACTCCATCAGATTCACTGCTTGCTAGTTTAATAAGACAGTTTTGAACTGAATTCCTAACCCATACTATATATTGCAGATATTAAACCTTATTATAAATGCATTATCAATTCAAGCTATTAGTAGGGGAATGAAATGTTATACTGAAATACATAATATACAAAACACTCTAATCCTTTGAAACTTTAAAATTAAAAAAAATTTTTTTTACATTGACAGAAAGGATTTGATGTATTCAATGCGCTAGATTTGATGGAAAATAAGACATTCTTGGAAAAACTCAAGTTTGGCATAGGCGATGGCAATTTACAGTATTACTTGTACAACTGGAGGTGTCCAGGAACAGAGTCCGAAAAGGTAAGTGAAGTTGATAAACCTTTGTAAACTTGATAAATTTACCTAGAAAATCCCATATTTGCTTCTCTTTGGATTGTTGAGAGGTTTTTTCTTTAGTAGCTTTTGAAAAATATAGATCTATTGTACTACGTTATAATTTTTCTTGCTGACTTGTTTTCGCTATTCCATTTCTTCCCTCCCTTTAGGTTGGACTCGTATTACAGTAGATGGATATTTCTATTTCTAGAACTCTGATGTCATCGTTTGTTAATATCCTAGTTAATGATTCCTGGAACTGCCATTCCAAAGAATAAAAGCACAACCTAAGTGACATCGAAGTGTCAGTAACAGAAAAGATGGAAAAACATCGATTGGTGACCAGTAGAACACATTTCTAGCTAGAATGTTAACATTCATCCTTTTTTTCACTGTTGACCCATTTGTAGGAGGGATGGAAGGAGGATACAAAGAGCACATTCCTCTAATTTTCAACCTTCTGACTGTCTCTCAATGAAGAGAAGGTATTTGTCCCTCTCTAGAAAAATGGACCGCTTTTCTATGGATTGAACAGAAATCACAGAATCGTGTAGGAAAATCTTTGCCATTGTGTGGAGATAAACTGCTGCCTTTCTGTTTATTAAGTCAGGGTCTGTGGGTCCATGTAGCAGAATGAGGGAGCCATTTGGAAAGGGTTTACTTATGTCACTGCACATGATCTCATCGGGAACATCTATGGAGCCAGCATTTCTGTAACGCAGTGATGAGCGGTAGGTGTTAAAGTGAAGAGTGAGATAAAAATGTACTGGTTGACTATTTCTCTAGAAGCAAAGTTGCCAAATCAATAAACACACAAATGGGTACTTTGATCTTCAGCAGGTTTGTGGATTGGTTCCAAAGCAAGGTTTGGGGCAAACATTGTGTTCTCTGAAGAGCACACAACCCTGACAAACTAGACTGTTCTGCTCCTGCAGAGACTCTCCTTCTCAGCAACAGCCAGGATACGTGAGGAAAAGAAAAATCAAAGGCCTCAAGTCAGAAGACATGCCCAGTGGAGTTCATGAGTGCCACCAGGACACTGATCATTTGAATGTTTTTTATTACTTATGCAGAATTGCACATATTTCTTTATCCTGACTCTAATTTATCATGAAAGCTGTCGTGCTCTAGGAAGATGTCTTATTTGTAAATAAGTCTTGTGGTTTTGTTACTGATGGTGTTTTTACCTAGGATTTGAAAATCCAAGTTTCTCGGTGTACATAGATAATGTATATATCACCCATAGCCCAAGGGGGAAGAGATGCTGGACGAGGCCACCTAAAACGGCCTCGACTCAAATACCGCAAAGTAGATACTTCTTCCTGCCTTTATGTACCAGTGCCTAGGCCGTTCGGTCCAGAAAAATTTAATTACCTTCGACAACAGGATGCCCTTCCTTCATGTTATAAGTAGTCAAAGGACACAATCATACCTTATAAAAACCGGGCAGGAGCTAGCACACTGTGGCCCATGAGCTGAACTCAGCACATCGCCTGTTTTTGTACAGCCCACGAGCTAAGAATGGTGTTTACATTTTTGAATGGTTGAGGGGAAAAAAAAAAAAGTTTTGTGACACATACAAATAACAGGAAATTCAGATTTCAGCATCCATAAATAAAGTTTTATGGGAACAAGGCCTCATTCATTCATGTGTTGCCTGTACGTGGCAGGCAGGGTTGAGTTGTTCCGACAGAGACTGTGGACCCAAAGGCCTAAACCTGGCCTTTTAGGGAAAAAGTTCTATTGCCTCTGATTTCCTCTAAAAATCAGAAAGCCTCTTTGCAGCTTCCCCGTCATCCTGAAGGCCACCCCACAGCTGTGGCACCCTGGGACCTCCACTAGGGGGCATGCGTGGGCTCCGAAGTCGTCCTTAATTTAGGACCCCACAGTTTTCCTTCTCGAAGACGCAAGGGAAGACTTCTAGAGGATGATTCAAACCCAATTGCGTTACCTTTTTTTTTTCCTAACATGAGGAGGATGCCTGCAGAAGCAAAAGTGAACCAATTCACTGAAACACCAGAATTAAGTAAACAAGATTTTTAACATAATCCAGAGTCGAGGCTCCAGTTGGGAATTACGTTCCGCTCATTTTTATGGCACAGTCTTAACATGAAGTAGGTTTTCGAATAATTGCAGGATTGTCCCTCAGAAATTGTGTCACGGGCTCACCTCATGACAAATCTGTGGCATTGTTCCTCTATTCACTTACATAATTGCAGTTAATAGAGTTCATGTTCTTTTACTCAGTAATTTTTAAATACAGTAATTTATAAATTATTAGCACACTTGCCACTTTATAATGCCTCTTTATAATTTACGCATGTTACCAATGAGCATTTTAAAGTAGAAAATCAGTACAGCTGCTTGTTTACAAAGTAGCCGTTAGAACTAAATTTCAGTGCAATACACAGTGTCTCACAGATTCAAAAGACCCACACCACCCCGTGTCCTTTGTCAGTAATGGAAATGCTCTGGTCCGTGACGTATCCTTGCCCACACACCCCACCATTTTTTGGTCAAGATGGCATTCAGTAAATTTAAATGGAGGTGGCATAATCCACAGATCAACCAGAATTTAGGCTGAAAATAAACTTTGGCAAGCCAGTACCTTCCCCGTAAATTACAGAAAGCACCTTTTCCAAACAAACATGCTGTAAACAGCGGATACTTTTTAACATAGAGCACTGATTCTGTTCCACATACTAACACGAGTGACCCGTGTCATGGCAGACCCACCTCTGAGCATCCAAGCTCCTCCGCTTATTTTTTTATTCTCTTCCTGCTTTATTTCACCTAATTACCATCATACTTTGGATACATGCTATAGTCCCAAGGAAGTAAGTTAACCGTGTAAAGGAGTGAATTCTTACCTAGTCAGAATACCTTATCTGGCAATTTTGATAAATGTTTAGCCTTTCTCCCAAGCCCACGCTTAGGCCTGCCTACAAAGAAAGGCAAACTGACAGTAAAAAATAATAATGTATTGTTTCTGAGGACAGTGTATTGCTTGGCATTTACCATCTTTCCTTTACAACTGATGGTGCACCTGCCATCCAGTTTCATCTCCCCCGCCAACTAGAACCGTGTCTGTGTGGCCTATTTGCCAAGTTTGGCCAGAAAGATGTCCAGTGTTGCAGGATACAGATGTCCTTGCTCACAAGCATCGTGCCAGCCTTTTAAAAAGGGAATTTATACAAGCATGGACATTAGTTTCAATAAACTTTTGATACTCATGCTGCTGAACATTCTCTGCACTTAGTGTCCCTAAGCTTCAGCCTATCTGTATTCTACAGTCAGAGAATCTTACACATTTGAAAGGAATGATACTAAACAGTGTCCCAAGAATATATGTAAAAGTCATTTTATTCAAGGCTTCTCTACGAGGTGGCGTTTTACAACTGTATGAAGTGACAGGTTTATACAAGATTACTTTGAAGCCGTTTTTTTACTTTTGGGTGGTTTCCTTATCTTATTGGGGTTTGGAATCACTTTCTTTATTTTCAGGGGTTGTAACACTGCAGCCTGCTGACCCTCAGCAAGCTTTCTCTTGGATTTAGAGAGGTCTTCGAAGGAAGTGTCCAAAATCTCTTTGTCTTGGCTTTCCAAAGATTCCATCTCCGGGTTCTCCCCGGGGTCTTCAAGTGGGTCTCGGAGCCACGGCACGTCCAGACGGGGGACTCTGGGGATGATGGCCCTCACTTCCTCCGCAAAGGCAGCGGTGTTTCTTTTGAACCCCAAGGCCAGGACGCACGTCAAGCCCATGGCAGGTGCGAGCCTCTCGCTGAGCCGGGGCACCTGGCAGGCAGGGACACCTCTGCTGGCGCTCAGCGGCACCAGGTGCGCGGTGACGATGGCCGGCTTGGCCGACTTGCACGCCAAGACCAAGAGCAGCTCGTTCCTCTCCAAGGCTCTGGTGACCTCGTTGATGCCGATGGCAAGCTGCTTTCTGACGTCGGCAGGGGTCCACCCTGATGCCTGGGGCTCACCTTCTGGCTTTTCCTCCTTCAGACCCTCACCAGTGTCCACATCCATGCTGCACGTGTCTCCGCTTTGTGTTTTCAAAGCGGGCTGCTTTCTTTTTCTCTTCCTGTCCTCAGTCTTCTGAAGCCCGAGAGATTTAATCCTGTCCTCCAGGGTCTGTAGTATGAAGTGCATATCCTCCCTGTCCAGGGCACCCCAGCGGATGGTATACGGGTTGTTCAATGATGTCTTCACAGGTAAAGGTCTGGTCTTCCGCACAGAGCCCCTCCCTGGTGCCTGGGGGGCTGCGGCCATTCTGAAGACCCTTCACAGAGGAGCAAAACGACAAAGGAAAACACATGTTAACTAGACATGCACGCCTTAAGGATATCTTGGCTGTGCCCTTTCTGATTTTGGAAAGGCTAAAGCAAGCCTACCTACATAGGACGTATATACACGTACATATATATATATGTGACCATACATCTAACTTTTCTTTTACGTTTTCCCCATTTTTTCCTGTGATTTGGTCTTCATTCATATACATGCAATTTATGAATGTTTTGTGTTACTGTGATCATACTGAACTTCTATTTATTTCCTTTAAAATGTTCCATGTTTCTACTTGTTCATAATTATTTATCCTCTTCAGGACCTCTGGTATTAGTCTGATAGATTTGTTACCATTTTCTGTATTGCCCTCTACTTAGGCTTCCGTCCATCCATTCAGCAAATACTCACTGAGCACCTCCAACTCTTGAGTCACGGGTACCGTGTTTCAGCCTTGAACAAGTTCCCACCACCACCTCTGTGAGTCCCCGAGTCCGCCTGCCTCAGCACACAGTCTCTAAGGGCCCTGGAAGCCTCTGCCATTCATAATTAACCAGCTGTGGTTTTTACCATAATGTATGCACATGACTAAAAATCCAAATGATACTTTCATTCTGTGCCCTTTTATAAGTCTCCTTCCCTCCCTGGACCCTAAGTTTCTTGTCTGTCTTTCCTAAAACACGATACACAGATTCCCCCTTCCCCTGATAAGTCCAAGCTGGCCGTTCCTCTGGCTGACAATGTGATGAAATCTAGGGAAATACTGTAATGAAATTTAAAGATATTAACCCATTAAGGCAAAATAGTAACAGGGATCCTTGCTGGGGAAATGTTATAGACCACTGTTCAGAGGAGCATGTCCTGTTTGTCCTGCCCAGAGGCAACTGCATATTCCTCTTTCTTCCCTCAGTTTTCTTCCTGGGCTCAGCCGGGAACCACAGGGACCCAAGGTGGAGAATTGAAGGAAGTTAAACAAGCCAGTTCTGGAGAAGTCTGGTTTTGGAACTGTTCCTGTTTTCAGGTAACGAGATTTTCTCATTCCAGGTCATTAATCCCATGCACACCTGCTCCCCGCTCCCCCAAGTGCCCCTGGCAGGATGGAAAAAAAAGAAATCTCCAAACACCCTCCTAAGAGCCCGGCTGCTGCTGCTGAGGAGCGGGTGCCCCGTGGAGTGTGTCATAAGGCATGTTCTCCAAGAATTATTTGGTTCTCACCCGATTCCTGCATGATGGCCCTGTGTGTGGAGGAGGAAACAGACTCAGGTTAAGTACCATGCCAGAGTCACAACTGGTTTCCCAAGTCCAAATTTTATGCTCTTTCAATCCTGGCTGCACCTAAAAAATAATCTATGACTTTAAAAAAGATAGAGATGGTTGGTCCGTACCCCAGGTCTGCTGAATCGGAATCCTGGGGAATACAGCAGGGCACCTGTACTTGTCAAAAGGCTGCCTAGCTTAATGTGATACAGAACCGGAATTGGGCACCACTGGTGTAGGACAGCGGGCCTTTCCACAGTGGACTGGCCTGAGACAGGGTCTCCTGACCTCCACCGGCCTCAGACATTCCTCCTACATCACCACCTCACGGAAAACCAAAACTCAGCTCCCTGGGGTGTGAGCTCAGACCTCATTCGTGTCAGCGTTGCCCACTGCTAGAGACTCGGCGTCTGCCCCCTAAGCTGGCTTCCTTCTGGTGCAGCCCCCGCCCATCCCCATCATCCCCGTGCAAAGCAGGAGGCAGCTCATCCAAATCCAAGGAAGTGACTGGCAGGGGCTGGCACCAGGTTGAAGATGGTCAGGAAAAGGGAAATAAATGACCAAGGAGCAAATATGAGGATCTATCGGAGCTCTGCCAGACCACAAACTACAGTTCATGTGCCTCAGCATTCAAACAGGGAGTAAGTACTTACAGTTATGTGCTGCTCTGGGCATTAGCTCCTCCTGTCTTCAGAATCTAGGCGAGGGAGACAAGAGCCAAGTGGTTCAGATAAGTAGAGTCTCACGGGATATAATCCAAAACCAAAGTGGAACAAGTAACAGCTTTGGAGGAGAAAATTGGGAAGGCCTTGCTGAGGTGCCTTTGGAGGCCTCTGCTGCCCATGAGATCAAGTGCACACTCACTGGAGTGACATCCAAGGGCCCCCATGTCACCATCAGCCTTCCTCCTTACACCCCACCATGGAACCACATACTGTTTAATGAAGTCACCAGTTCCTCCCCTCCATGGCTTTACTCACATCCCCTCTGCCTGGGGAACTATTCCCACCCTTAGCCCTACCACCACCTTTCTTACTTGAACAAGTATTTGTGGATTATCCACAATGCACCAAGCCAGAAAGATGATGAATTAAAGCAAAAACAGCCACTGAACTCATTGGGCTTAGAATCCATGTGGGAGACTTACCCACAAAATATAAGATGTGATGCACATTAAGGTCAGGGACCTACAGGATCCTGAGCAGAGGCCTGACTCAGTTGAGGGGGTCAGGAAGGGCCTCCCGGAGGAAGTGACCTTTTAACCCACACGTGACACCAAAGGGAGTACCTATTTGGAAGAGCATCCCAGGGAACTGCATTAAAGGAAATGATGTCAGTGTCGCCGGGGCAGAGATGCTAGAGAGAGCGGAGGGAGCCGGAAAGGCGAGGAAGGACCAGATGGTGAATACACTTGCAAACCCTACAATGTTCAAAGCAGAGGAGTGGCGTGGCTGGAAAGGCGTCACAGAAAGATCTCTGGGGATTCGGGCCAGGAGGAGTCCTTTGCCACGACTGGAAGCAGCAAAGCAGCTCCAGAGTAGTCCTGGTAAGAAATGACGGTGGCCTTAGCTAGACGTGCCGCAGAGGGGATGGATGGAAATGCATGCTACTTGAAACAGTTAAGAGGTGCAATCCGCCCGACTAAGTGATGAACTCGGGGTAAAGCAGAAGAAGGACTCAGGGAGGACTCCGGGGTTCTGGATCTGGTAGCCGACCCCCGAGTTACTCTCTTCCTATGGTCTGCCGCCTCTCTATCGAGTGCCTACTTACTTCGCTACTTAACACACGCGACTGGAGTCATTTTCTGGTCCGCCTCCACTTCTAGACCGCGGAGTACAGAAGGGACAGGGTGGGGCTTTACCTATTTCTAGTACCCGACAGACGCTCAACTCCAGGCAGAGAGCGGAGCGTGAGCCAAGGCCGGGACGCAGGAAAACACGCTGGTACGGGCGGGGGCGGTCCCAGGGACGCGGATCCTGGGAGACCTTGCGCGCACCCGGCCCAGTCCCACGCTCGATCCCCACCAGCGGCCCCTCCGGATCTCAGACCCAAGCGCAGACCCCCACTCACGGTCGTCCCTGCGCCGGTTCCACGTGGGCCGCGCTGCGCGTGCGCAGAGCCCACGCCTTCCCGGGCCCAGCTTTCCGACGCGGTGGGGCGGGGGGAGGGGAGGAGGACCGGCTCAGAGAACACGTTTCATTCTTCTGCATTGGGCCACTTCCAAACGGGAAAGTCGGCCCAGGGCGTCGCGACAGAGCGACGGAAGGTTTCTCTGAAAACCCTGAGTTTAGGACCGGGTCGGAGGCTCTGGATAAGGCCCTCCAGCGGCAGTGCGCAGGCGCATTGTGTGTCTCGCGAGACTTCAGGTTGCCTGGTAACCGGCCACCTGCTCTCCCGGTTGCCCTGTCTGGGGAGCCTTGTATCGCGGTTAGACTCCGGAGCCTGGCGGTGTCACCTGACGCCGCTCTCTTCTAACCCAATTTCTACCTTTCAGTGCCTGGCAGTCTGAGCCCCTCACTTTTCCGTTTTTGGCTTGCCTAAGGGCCGCAAAATTCTGATCCAGTTCCCCCATCACCGAGCCTCTGCCGAATCCCCGGCACCGTGGAAATCAAGATAAATGGGGGATGGGGAGGTGGATTGAGGAAACCACGTGTTTACAGGCACCAGTGTAGGAGATCTTGAGCCCCGGAAAGAGGAGAATAAAGGCTATCCTGAGTTGCGACAGCGGTTC